GTTGAAGACAATAAAATGTGGCGAACGCTAAAATATGTGAAAAAGTGTAAACAATATACAATGGAAGAGAATAAAAGAACAAAGGAATAAAAGAATGAAATAATCCTGGCACGAATTGTTCTAAACAAATAGTTTGGCGCGAATTGAATCGCACTGTTTGTTTACTGTTGGTTTCAGTTCTTTGATAAAAAGCATTTCAAAAAGAAGACAGTCAAATTTGTTCTGACACTTCCTTAAGATTCGAAAACTCTGTGTAATGTCTTCTGCCTCCATGTCGTGCTGCTCTCTGAGGTGGTGTCCGATTGCCGATCCTTTGTGTTCTTCAATTATTACATAATTGATTTCGCCGTTAATTGACGGCTAAATCGAGTGTCATATATTTCAAACCAAAAATTTCGCCGTTAATTCACGGCTAAATCGAGTATGACATATATTTCAAACGCAAAAATTAGCCGTTTATTTTCGGCGAAATCGAGTGTCATACATATTACAAACGCAAAAAATAGCCGTTAATTCAGAACGCTGCGCGCTCGTTCGATTTTGAAATCACGCGTATGATTTCAGCCCAAATTGTACTCCACTCAGTTTAATTACCACTTTATTACATCCATTTTCAAATCGCCCAAATACAGAACTTGGTCAATTGAAATATTTTATTGATGCAGTACTGAGCCGGTTTTTAAATAAAAAGCAGAAACGGAAACGGACTTACATCTTATTTTGTATGCAAAACAGAAAGACTTTGACGTCATGTGTCAAAAACTCAGTCAAGCGTATGAAAAGAAAGACAAATTTCATTGAAGAAATTCGAGAAGTCCTCAATAACTTAAAAAAATAGTGAAGGGTTAAAGTTCAATCCTCGTCGTCTGACTCAATGATGTAAGCCCTTCGTTTCTTCTGTGGTTGGGGTGGAGAATTCTGGCTGTCCCTGGAGAAGAAATTGAGGGTGCAGCCTGTGTAATTCTGCGATGGAACGAGAGCAGCACAACTGAAGGCTTCCATACGGTACTGCGAAGACTGCAATGGAAAACGTGGTTGAAATCCTGAAAATTCAGCTGATACATTTAGCCTTGTTGTTGGACGTGATAAATAGGAACCAGAGGTGTTCGTTTATGTTGGACTGCAATCTCTTGATTTGAGGCTTGATTTGCAGTGTTTTGGCGGGTGACTTCGTTTGCTTGATTTTCGTTTGACACGTCTTTATATCCACTGATAATGTGAGCCAGTTCTTTCCTGTGATTCTCGTCTATTTTATCGTAGTCGTCTGACAGAAGATTCACGTGCATGGCCTGTTATTTCACAGATGATATATCGCGGTTGACCTGATTTCTTCAGTTTTGATACCAATGTTTTCCTCATGCTGTGGTTCGTCAGCTTCTTATTCGTCCTGTGACAGGAGGCCATAGATTTATTATTTCTCATTATTTGAGAAGTACCATGGTATTCCTTTGGAAAAAAATCCAAGATGGCGGAAACTAAAAGAGGGTCCCCTAACCCTAGCCCCACGTCACTTTTGCCTGATTCATTATTAAGCCATGCAACGTGTCATAATATTGGCCATTGGATTGAACTAGTTTGGTATGAAATATGAGGCTATTTCATTTAGAAACATATTAGGGGATGAAACATATCGACAGGATATGAACCATCGCCGAGGGGATATAAACCTTCCCCGAGAGGATGTGAAATAAGGTGTTACGTTAACCCTAACCCCATCTCACGTTTGCCCTATTAATGCTTAAGCCATGAAACTTTTCAGACTACGAAAAACTGTTTTGAAGTAGTTTCGTACGAAATATAAAGTTATTTCATTTAGAAACTACAGAGTTATAGGGGTATGAGGAATCCGAGAGGATATGAACCATTGCGGAGGAGATATCAACCATCGCCGAGGTATATGAACCAAGGTGGTATATTAACCCTAGCCCCATCTAACTTCTGAACCATTCATGTTTCAGCCCTGAACCTTCTTACACTTTTGGGCATAGAATTGAACTAATTGCGTGATAAATATGAGTATCGTGCATTGCGAAATGACTGAGTTACCGTCTTTGGAGGTGTAACGGTCTGAATTTTTAAAGACTGCACTTCTTAAGTAAACGTTTAGGTGTTTAAAACCATTTGTACATCGAAAAAAGTACTTTTCAGACAATGGTAACCCTTTTAATTATAATTAAACAATTAGAAAGCGTTTTAGACGATAAAACTTTTGACCAAAAGTACCATGCTACCCCTTTGGAAAAAATCCAAGATGGCGGATATGAAAAGAGGGTGCCTTAACCCCAACCCCATCTAGGTTTTGACTTATTCATGCTTAAGCCATAAAATTTATTACACCATTAGACGTTGAATTGGGCTAGTTTGGTATTAAATGTAAAGGTATTTGATTCAGAAACAATAGAGTTACAGGGGTTGAACGATTGCGAGAGAATATGCAACATCGCCGAGGGGATACGAACCCTCGCCGAGGGGATATGAACCAAAGTGGTACGTTTACTCTAACCCTAACTTACTTTGGAACCATTCATGCCTAAGCTACGAACGTAGTCACAGTGTTGGGCATTTCATTGAACTTATTGCTTGATAAATATGAGTATATTGCATTCCTAAGTAACAGAGTTACATTCCTTTGAACTGTGCCCATCTAAATTTTGAAAGTAAGGGTTTAGGTGTTTATAACCATTTTTACACCGAAAATAGTGCTTATCAGACAACAGTAACATTTTTAATGGTAATCAAACAAAAAAGAAAGCGTATATGTGCACGATCCTTCGCAGTAAAGCACTATTTAAGCAATAGTGAAAATCAGACCTGAAAAAAATTCAGGCCTGTACGGGATTCGAACCACTGACCTCTGCGATACTAGAGCGATACTAGAGCGATACTAGAGCGCTGCACTAGTATCGCAGAGGTCAGTGGTTCGAATCCCGTACAGGCCTGAATTTTTTTCAGGTCTGATTTTCACTATTGCTTAAATAGTGCTTTACTGCGAAGGATCGTGCACATATATGTTTCATAACCGCAGTTCATATATATGTATTTCATATATATTTGTTGTTTAAAAAAGAAAGCGTCCTAGACACTGAAAATTTTGACCAAAAGTACCATAGTACCCCTTTGGTAAAAATCCAAGATGGCGGAAATGAAAAAACGGTGCCTTAACCCTAACCAAATGTAACCTT